CTAAATAAGGCTGTCAAAATATTTATGGGAAATTTAGCCAAAGTTAAAGGCTAGGGACAGACATTCAAAAATCCTGAGCCTGAATTGATTCTGTCTTTGCAGGTTAGTCTAACCTGGCCAGGCTGAACCAGTTTGTAACCAGACAGATATTGTCTCTGGACTGAGAAAATTCAGACACATGCCTGAAGTAGCCAGGGAGTGCTAGAGCAACCCTCCCTTCCCTTGTACACTGCTGAGCTGAGTGGGGGCATAGCCAGGCCCTGGCAGGACACTTTGATTAGGGAGGTCTGCCTGCACAGCCCTAGGCTTTTCCCCACTGGCTGCTCAAGGGGTGGAAGTGTTGCCAGTCCCAGCCTCCTGCTAGCACCTTGAGGCAAGGGGCAGGGGGAAGGGGGGAGGTTATGCAGTGCATGCATCTGTTGATGATATGGAAGTTTTCAATCTCCTGGTTTCGGGACTCCCTCCCTCCTCCCCGCTGTGTCTGCAGTCTCTGCCAGAGCTCCAGCGACAGAGCAGAGGGGTGGAGCTGGCTCTGCTGTGGAGAGAGCCCTGCCCAGCCCAGAGAACATGCCGGGATGCTGGAAGAGCCTGGTTTATCTTAAACCACCAAGGGGTCTGAGACAGACATTGAATAAACTGGTTTGAGCCAAATCAGGTAAGTTTGATACTACATTTGATCAGGTTTATCTCAAGCCAATTTCAGCCATTTTCAAACTGGTTTATGTGCACTGAACATCTGTTCTGTTACAGGTTTAAACCGGTTTCTGATCGCTTGAACCAGTTTATGTGTAATGTCTATCCCTAGCCAAAATGCTCTGAGGATTTATTATAGGAACTTCATTCACAGGTAGGAAAGATTCTTAAATTTGGGGTGACATTTCTTTAACACTCACAGCTTTTCCAACAAATATATCTTAGAAACTTAACAGTGTTATTTCCCATTTTTAATTGCTAGGGAAATCCTGAGAATCCCCAAGTCACTGACTGAAGTAGGGCTTATGAACTACAATCTGCAGTGACTTTGGGAAGGGTTTCTCTCCCATGTCCTGAAATTGGTGGGCCAGAGCATTGTATCAATAACTTGTTTAATATTCACATTTTTCAGTATATTTATTTAAAACCACGCAATAGTTACATTAGCTTGCACATAAAATTATCTTAGGAAAGAAAAAAAAGGTATCTGACTATAGCCATCTAACTTTTTTCTTGTGTATTCATACAAAGTGGGGACTTAAATTAAGTTGGGGATTATTTCCCACTCTGTAAAAAAAATTCCTGATTCTGTCACATGCAAGTTTTCTATCTTCAGGTCTGAGATTCTTCCCTATAGAAAAGGTTAAGCTTGGAAGAGTTAAAAAACAGTTTAGACTCAAGGTACCCCTTGGTAAATGCCAGCTTTTAGCTTTTACTCATTTTTTTGACTGGAAAAATAAAGCAATTCTGCTGCTGCTAAAAACTCAGAGACCATAACAGGACAGAATGTTTTTGACACTATAGATTCTTATTTCAATTTTCTGGGTTTATCTTATGATTCGTGCATAGGTGTTTGAACACTTAACAGTGCTAGTATCATGTGGCAACCGTGATAAAAGTCACTGGTTTAAAAAGTCAATATAGAAGGCTAGGCAGCTGTCCTGCCTTGATGCACATAGATTCTATAGCACTCTAAATCAGACGACTCATGAAGTCTGCATAGGTCAAAAACCACGAAGATGATGATAAAGCACTGGCTAAAATCCTTAGAATTACTGTATTTACTCGAATATAAGATGTCTCTGGATATAAGATGACCCCCCCAATAATTAGATTAAAAAACAGAAACGTATACATTTGTTATAATTTTCCAGGTATATAATCTAATTATTGGAGGTCTGCCTTGGATTTGTTCCCTTCCCACTGCTACAGCAGGGAAAATATATCTGGGAGGGGGTCAGGTGGCCACTTGCCCTGTGCCCTCCCAACTTCTTCCCCCTGCAGCTTCTCACCCCACCTCCACGTCAGACCCTGCATGTGGAAATGAGGGGCAGATTTGAAAACACTGGGCACATCTACACATGAAAGTAATTTGTCTGAATCAACTCTGGCTCAGTTTACACAGGGGTTTATTACTCCAGGGCACAGGGTTTACATGTGTGCCCAGAACCACAACATGTTGAGCCAGGTCAGAGCAGCCCCAGCTGGCAGGGGGCTGGGGAGGTCAGCCTGCCAGCCCCAGACTACTCCAACCCAGCTCAATATCCTACAGAGGGGCTGACTGGAGCACAAGAGTGCTTCAGTGTGGGGGCTGCCTGTCAATGAGCCTGCATGCAGCCAGCCCTTTTAGCATCTACACACGCATTGTGTGGTACATCAAATTATACCACTATAGGACAGTACTTTTGTTGACAAGTACTAACCTATAGCTGTATTTATTAGTTTACTGTAACCTAATAGGGTCTCATGTGTAGATGCACCCACTGACTTCAAAATAAACATACCTGCAGAAATGGCATATAGGCAAATTACTGTGGGTACCTAGAGATTTAGTTCATTCAGAATTGATGCATTTTACCTTTTTTTTTTTTTTGCAAACTGCTGCAAGTTGCAGCACCAGTATTCCATAAACACACTTTTGAGCGGCACTTTTATACTTACTTATATATAGCACAAACTATACATTACATTATTCCAAAGCCAAAGGCTCATGACTTTTCGTATAGTTCATTGGGCTGGGCCCCAGCAGTCAGCAACATTTCAAGCTCTGGTGGCCCCACAGCACACCCTGTTCCATACACAAATATATTCCAGATACTCCCCCCCCCCCCCCAACACACACACACACACACACACACACACACACACACACACAGGATCTATAACACACACACACTCATGACTGGAACTGGGTGTTCTCATCACGAGTTTTGGAATCTTCCAAAAACATACATGCAGCTAAGATATGTGGCCTCCTGATCCAACTACACCTCATGGAGGGCATGCCCACACTAATCATATGAGACAGGCCTAGAGAGGAGTCGACAAAGCCTCTCACCTACACAGAAGTTTGGTGATGTTTGCCAGACATTTAAGGTTGGTGATGATACAGGAATCATTGGAAATGAGAAAGAAAGATGCTGCTCAACTGTGGGAATAAAAAAGAAGTTGAAAAGTATTCAATGAGTGCATCATCATGAATTGAAAAAGTGTCAGCACTGATGGGAACTGAGTGTGATGGCTGCACTAACCTGTCCTTGTGGAGGGTTCCCATCAGCATCTCAGCCTTTTTGGCTAAGATCAAATGCCTCATTTGGGCTGGGGGATCAAATGCCTCACTTGGGCCCCCACCCCGGGCTCCCCCACCCCCAGGCTTAGTTGGCTAACATTGTATCTCCTGTAACCTAGTTACATTCCCCTCCTCACCCCCATCCTTCTATTGTTAGTCCCTCGCCCGGGTGTTATGTATTTCCCTACTGGCTTTGTCAGCTTTTTTGGATTCACAATCCTAAACAACTACTAATAAAAGTCAATCTATTATTGGGAAAAAAGGGAGGGTGTTAGGGCTGGCTCTGGCCCTTCCAGGGCCAGCTTGGTATTGCAGTACCTCCAGGCTTGGTGCCACCTCCCTGAGGAAGGAACACCCACCTGTTTTTTTTTCAGGGCCAAATATATATATAGGCAAATTACTGTGGGTAATATATATATGCCTTGATAAGAGTCACTGGTTTAAAAAGTCAATATAGAAGGCTAGGCAGCAGTCCTGCCTTGATACACGTAGATTCTATAGCACTCTAAATCAGACGACTCATGAAGTCTGCATAGGTCAAAAACCACAAAGATGATGATAAAGCACTGGCTAAAATCCTTTAGCACTGGCTAAATCAGTATGCTTGTCTAACATAGGCCATGTGTTTTACAGGCGTGGTCAGCGTGGGCTTCAATCAAATTCATGGATGGTTTTCATAACTCAGCAGATGCTGCTTCTGGCAGCAGTTTAATGATGGACAATGTGTTTAATGAAGAGCTTTTCCTGTATGCAAATATAAGATGAGGGGCTTTTTGCCCCATGCTGACTGGGAGCAGGGGGCACCTCACCTTATAGTCGAGTAAATATGGTAATCAAAGTACAGTAAAATACATTGGTTAATAATACAGTCTTGGAGCAACTTGGACAAATACAGCAGAATTGCCATTATCTTTAACAGTAGGTTACAAATGTAAATAAATAATTACAGCCCAATTTTGTGAATATTTAAGCACATGGTTTTGTTTTGGGTTTTTTTTGTAGAAGCAAAACCTGTATTCATGTAAATTAAGAATGAAGGGCTACGAGAGAACTTTAAATTTTGAGTTAACTCACATCACACACATTTAAACATACAGCAATAAAATGCCTTTGTAAAAGCTGGATAGGAAAAAATAATAATCTTACTACTTTAACTGGTGCTGTGTTGTTTTTTTTCTTGAAATGCAATTCTCTGAAAAGTAACTATTAAAAATATCAAGGTGGGTTCTGTGCTAGTGTATCTCAATAACTTTCATTTTATAAATTAAAAAAATGTTTTCACTTCCTGCCAACCCTGCAAACAGTCTATAATCCGAAAGACAAGGTGAATGCTGTTTGGTCAACGCATCATCAGAATTAAAGATTCCTCCGGCCAAACTTTTCACTCCATTACAAATGCACAACCCCATTGCCCTCACTTTGTGGTTCAAACACAGCTGAGAACAGACATGGTACGTACATTTGTAATTTACTTAACAAGTATGATGTGTGTGAACAAGCATGCGTAAACTCTCACAATC